TAGTCAATGTCACTGAACTGTGCATGTAGAAAATTTTAAAACGGTGTATCTTTGGCTATGTGTATTTTCACCAAAAAAAAAAAGGTCGAGAAGTTAGAGGGTTAATATGTTGTGGGGTTGTTAACCAATGTCATAAAACAACATGTGCACTACTGTTTCATGAGAAACTATTTGTTCTGTAAGCCTTCAACTGAAGTACAATAAAATATTTAAAAAAAAAAAAAATACCCCAAACTGTTGAATAGTTTCAGAATAGAACTTGCCTCTATTTGAAATACTCATCAAAGCAAGGCTTTTCCAAGCAACGGTTAAGACATAACTACTAAATTTTACAACCATCGATTTAGGGTACTGTGAAAAAAAGGGAGAGTGGGAGAAAAACATCAAAGTTTATATGTTTATGGATATAGTGTGTGGAGGTCAGATTTTTGATCACGGTCGGAGCCAGGAAGGGTGGCTCAAAACACGACAGGAAGAGTTTCAACAGCCTTCAACATTGCTTCTTGCCAAAGTGACTTCTTCCCTTTACCCATCCACCCCCGCCAAAAAAAAAAATGAAAATGTACTTCATGAAACTATTGTATATGAAGCACTTATTAGCCGTAATTAAATGGACAATATGAATTTACTACGTCTTTAGGACTCTGGCTTGTTCTGGTTTAGAGCAAGATGATTAATGCAAATACATATTACTTGAGATAACCATTTAGCAGCTAATTTAGCCAAATTTATTACAGCAGTTAGAGGTTTTTCATTTTAGCAGACGGAGACAAGGACATGCCAAAAGTGGGCGACGTAGATGAGTGCACACTGCCCTCTAGTGGTCAGCCAGCTGGTGCGCTCTTGTGGTGCACCGAGTTGCTGCAATACTTTACAAGTAATAACAGCCGGTTTTTGCACGTTTCCGGCATCCTTTTAGACAATTCCCATCCATTGCACTTTATTTCAGGGATGATTTACTGCAGTTTCCACTTTTACTAGCTCAGGAGTACCCAGATACAAATCAAATCAATTTCAACTTGGCAAGATTTTGGTTAAAGTATCATTTTTAACATCTGCATTTTAAAGCTCTCTTTCAGTGGTTATTTAATGGCACCACTTTCATATTACTGATTGTTTTTACTTGTCCCTTCATTTTGGGCCATATTTCAGAGTCTATGCGGAGCTGTCACTCTGGCGCTAGCCGAGTCAATTCTGTGCCTCCCTTAGGCCAGTGTTTCTCTCTGACTCGGCCGGGGAATTTATTTTGTTCCAGCATTCAGCGAAGTCTCACCAGAATTTCCCCAGACTGACCGATGGAAATTTAATTCATCCATGGACTATAAATTCTGTGAGACGAGATCAAAAGGAGTGGATGTATTAGTACACTGGTTAATATTGCTGGCACTGAGGTGAAATGATCAAAAACAGGGGGGTAAGGCATCTTCTGAACCATTCAAACATCCAGAGTCTCAAAGAAGTCTACCTTGGATCTATGAATAAATCACTATGAATTTGCCTTTCTTACCATCTGAGTCAAACTCATTGACAATATCCACACCGCATTAGGTGTTCTGTGAGCCACAAAGATTTGTAGTCCTTTTATTCTTCCTTTCACACCATCGCTGCCCAAAACGGACTTGAGGTTTTGCAGAAATGAAATTCATCTGGTCCCAGTCTTAACACACAATGCCTTTTGTTCTGTTTGTTTCTTTTCCCCCCAGTGCTGAATAAGGGTCAGTGTGTGACGAAGTATTATCGTTGGATGCAGAAGAATGGAGGCTATATTTGGATACAGTCTAGTGCCACCATAGCGATTAATGCCAAGAATGCAAATGAGAAGAATATCATCTGGGTGAATTATCTTCTTAGGTATATTTTCTAATCTTTTTCATTTCTGTCTCAGTTACAAAGTACAAAGCCCACGGTTCATAGCTAACATGTTGTGAGTCTTGTCTTTTGACAGTTCCTTGTATGGGATCACATGGAAATTCCGCTCTTTTTTTTTTTTCTTTACAAGATGCAAAGAAATATGAGAAAATCAAAGCTGGGTCGGAAGGGAAGTCCAGGGCAGATTTGCAAACTTTTCAATAATTCTTGTTCAACATTTGCGCAGTTCTGAAGGAGAGGCTTCGGTGTCCTCACAAATACTCAGGCCAGAAAAAGAATACAGACTTTCACCAACAGCTGAAACATTCAGAACGCACTTCATTATCCCCACCACACATACACACATTCTCCCACTCTAGGCCCTGTGAAAATTAAGCAGAAGGGGAATGGGAAGAAGTAGCAGCGTACATTGTATTCCTCTTTGTATCCCATCCTGTGGAGGCCCTCAGCATATTACATAGGATTTGATTGCCTAAGCATGAAAGTTTTGGTAGGCCAAGTGAGTTGCTTTGCCAGAATCAAGACAATTATCAGTATAAAAATGGAGGCAATTTCTTTTGCCTAATGCTCTGTGATTTCAGGCAAGTTTTACTGCTGTTTTATTGTGTCCTTGAATTTATATCCATACATGAGGCCAAGCTCTAATGCTGCCTGAAGTGTGATGTGAGACACTATTTCTTTCTCCTTCCCTATCTACTTTCTGCCTTTGGACTCAAACATACAGAAAAGTAACCAAGGCAAACAGACTGGATGGTCTGAGTTTGGGAGCAAGCCTTCCAGAAGGTTCTCCACCAAGCCTGTCTGTGGTGAAGCCATCACAGTGCTAGGCCTGGCTCCCTCCCACCACCATCATTCCAGTCTTTGGCATCTCATGGCCTAAAGCCACCAAGCAAGGCCCACACGTGGTCTGAGCAGGAAAACTTCCAATAGGTCTTATGAATGAAAGTCGTTGCCCTTTGGCTGATAATCTAGACAGGGAGTACCTGAGTCCCATTTTTCTTTGAGACAGCCAAATGGAGCCAAGATGCTAACAACCGTGGCTCATCAGCACACTGGCTTTCAGAATGTATTCATGTACTTTGGTGATGACTTGAAGGCATGAATGTGCTACCAATAGCATATCAATCAGACACTAATGATGATTGCTCTAGAGAGGGCCTTAATGTGCACCACTTAAAAGAGTCTTCATTTATCTACTTTCTTTTTCCTTTTTTGACCTTTTCTACTCTACATTAATTCTCTCTAAAGGTAAAAGTATGTGTATTTAATGTGGCTTCCTCTAAGGCTCGATTTTCACACAGAGTACCCCCTGTATTTGTCATATATTCAAGATGGGTTCTGATATCAGAGAGAATCTTTATACAGCGTTTTAGGAACCAACAGCCGTGTGTAATGCAGAAGGTTATAAAAACTCACATAACAAACAGAAATAGAATAAGGCATTGTGGCACTGACATTCTTTTGCTAGGCAAAAAATGGTGTTATGCCATGTCGACCAATTACTATTAAGAGTTAGACATTGGTAACAGCAACGCCATAGGCTAGAAGGGGCCTGCAGCAATATAAGCCAGGGTACTGAAATAATCTCTTTGGGTCTTAACCCTACAACTCTAGTTTCACTTCATTTTACCATTCTGGGAGATTTCTTCCTGTCTAGATATTTATTATTGCCTCATCAACTCCGCGACTTCTTACCCAGCCCCTAAATGGAGTGAGATGGGTTAAGAAGTCAGTCCCTGCAACTTTAGATCAAAACCACTGATCAAATGGTACAAAACTCATGAGTATTTGGTAATTTTATTTCATCTATTTCTACACAGATAGGAAGGAAGCAGTTTGGGTAATAAAGACCAGTCTTCAGGCTCAATAGACACAATCACACATGTGGAGGACTTGTTTCAGATGACCTAAAGGTCAATGATAAAAGACTAATTTGGGTGACAAGTGACCTGTGTCCCCCCCACCCCCACCCCATGGTATCTGGACCAAGCAGAGCTTTAGCAGAAGAAATGCCACCAAGCCGCCACTCACTAGCTATCATTTCTATAGGCCAGCAGTCTAGCAAGAATAATGGCAAAATAGCAGCCATTGAAGTTTGTTTTTCTTTCCCAGATTCTTGTCCTTTGTTCTTCCCTGAGCAATACTCTCATGTTACCAGTTCCTTCCTAGAATCCCTCATATCTGGGCCCCTGTTCTATCATTACTGCTCCTCCAGTCTTCCTTCCATTTTTTTACAATACTTGACAGGATCAGAAACTCTTAAAAGTATTTGGAGGTAGTACAAGTAGTAAGTCCACCTTCCCACTATTAGTCTCTTCTGCTTACCTAGAGAGAACTTTGCTGCGGAAGCTAGTTCACACTAAGGAATAAATGCCCGATGATCCATTTTAGTGAATTAACCCTCCCAGGGACATCTGCAATTTTAGAATACTGTCTGAAACAATGACGCTCTAATATAGGAATTTCACTAGAGATTAGCAAAAAAGTCAGTAATCAACTATTGAAGTCTCTGCTTGCCTGACCATCATAGAACAATAGAAGAGACATTTCCCATTTTGAGGCAAAGAGCTTTCCTTGTGCCTTCAGATTACATCATGTGTAGTACATATAGATCACTACGCTCATACACTGGGCTGGCCTTAGAGTGCCATTTCCAGAAGATTGTTAACTCAAACTGACCAAACATGCTCTCTTTTCCAGAAGAGGCTGGTTTCTGAATTAAAAATGGAACAAAAATTGAGCACATTTGTGCAAATGGGGTTAGCTCCATTCTGTTAGGGCCTCTTTCACACTGGGACTCTTCCCACTGCAATCAGTTTTCCAGCTAACAAGCCACAGGTGTACACCACATGAGCAGATGAAAATGATTGTAATGGGTATGTTGACAGTTCAGTAGCCATAATACATACATCCCAAGGTGCACCTGTGCATTTGTTATATAGTCAGGCACTTAGGGCTCTGGGTCTCCCACCCCCAGTAGCTTTGGAGCCATCTGAACAGCTGAGAAGCTACATCAAGGGGCCAAGACAAGGGTACTGGAGCAATGGACTCATTAGGAACCCAAGAGAAGATAGGGCACACCAGGTGGTATGGGAATGAGTTGTTAAGAGTACTTCTCATTCTCCCTTCCCCCTAAGTGTTATATTAGGATCCATGTCAAGCAGCACAGTTCTCTGGCCCCTAGTGGTATCTGATTACTTAAAAGCTTTTTAGTGACTTTCATGTAGCATTTGGGTATTCAATCATTGTATCATGGTGCACCTGTACCCTGGCACAGGCAATCCAAACTTCCACAAGAGTCCCTTGACATGCTGAGAAATGATTTCACATTTAGTCTTTCTCTAAACTCCGGAAGTTTGAGTTAGGGAAGTGGGGAAAGATGGTCAAAAGCAAACCATGCCGAATGGGTGTTTGCATGCCTGATGAATGTTTCCCTGCCCCACAGTAATCCTGAGTACAAAGACACACCAATGGATATTGCACAGCTCCCTCATCTGCCAGAGAAAACTTCCGAATCCTCAGAGACCTCCGACTCTGAATCAGACTCTAAAGACACCTCAGGTATTACAGGTATTACTTCTTATGCATGTTCTGTAGTTACGACTTGCCATTCCAAGCACAAGGTATGGGCAGTGGCCATCTCCAGAAACAAAGCAACTGGTCAAATTTTATATATAAAATTTATACATATATACATATATCTCATGATGTGGTTGCTGCTTCTCTCTCAAATATATATATATATATATATATACACACACATATATATATATACACATGTATGTGGTGGTATAAACATTTACATAAATGTGTATTGTGTATAATACAGAGAGAGACTGGCTGACTTAGCAGCAGGGCTTGGGACCAGTTCATTCTGATTCGAACCCCTGCTGAGAATTTGCATTTCTAACAAGTGCCCAGGAAGTTATACATAAGAATCACCTGGGGATCTTGTTAAAATGTAGGCTTTGATTCATATATTTGGGGGGAAGAGGGGGGTGGAAGTGCAAATTCTCAGCAGGAAACTTGTTAGAAATGCAAATTCCTAGCAGGGGTTCGAACCAGAATGAACCCCTGCTTAGTAGTCACTTAATTTCAGCACTGCCACAGGCCATACAGAAGAAACCCTGCTCTACCCCCTACAGCTAGCTCTGTCATCTTTATGTAAGCAGGTACCAGGGCTAGCTCCAATGACAGTCTGTGACTTTGAGCTCAAAATATTCACATCCTCATCAAGCCTGTGAGCAAGGTCCATAGATGTGTTTGAGCCTCTACAGTAGCATACTTACTTACTTTCTGAATCTACGCAGGACAACCTCATGCTTTCCCATTTCTAACTGTTTTGGGAAATAGACTTTCTGAGCAGTTCTTTGGAGCACAGGAAAGTTTAAATAAAAAGACTTCTTATTTTTCCTCCAGCCTCTGGCCCCCTTCCACAGATACGCATATAGCAGGGAACACAGAACTTGTAGAATTCTACAGCTGCAAAAAATCCTACAGCTTTTCCAACTCAATCTCTTCTGCTACAGAGGGGGAAAGGAAGGCCAGAGTAGTTACATGATTTGCCCAAGGTCTTATCCAGCCTGCCGTCCACAAACATCATAGCAAAGTCAGAAAACCAGTATCATCCTTAATGGGTGCTCTGAATCTTTTGAGGTTTCCTGGGAAAGCCTTTTCTCCCTAAAATAGGGCAGATGGCTAGGGTTCCCCCAAACCCACCCTATTGTTAGGGTACCAGTGCTCCAGGGTTGTAAGCACACATCCTTCTGCTCCAGACACAGCTTCAAAGAAGTGGAAGGAGTTAAGACTACGTATAGAGGATCTTGACTATTGCCCTGTCCTTTAAATTTCATTGAGCTGAGAGTTTTTTTACTAGAGCATAAGTTTCAATATAGACAGTCTCTGCCCCTTATTTGTAGCAGTAAACAAAACAAAAACACCCTCCCCACCATGGAGCTTATTTTTCATGGTGGTGGGGTGAGGCAGAAGTAAATAAAATAAGATATATAGTAAAACAAATCGTGATAAGTGCTATGGAGAAAAATAACAGGGAAGAGAAATAGGGAGTGTGATTTTCAATAATGAACAAATATTCACCTATAGCAGATGCAGACCTCTTTATTTTTAACACTTTTTTTATTGTTATAGTTTAAATGAAGTTTACATTTCAAGTTAGTCTCCCATACAAAAATTTATACATACATTGTTATGTGACCCTAATTGCTCTGCCCTTACTGTGACAGCACACTCCTCCTTTCCACCCCTGAGTCCCCATGTTCATTCAACCACCTTCTAACCCTCACTGCCTTCCCATTTCAACTCTGGACAGAAGCTGCCCGTTTAGTCTCTTGTATCTACGTGAGCTAGGAAGCACACTCCTCATGAGTATCACTTCACGTCCCACTGTCCGGTCCAATCCCTGGCAGACCTCTTTAGACCTCTTTGCATTGCCTCAAGTTTCTGTGTCATTGATACAGTGTGCCCGGTTAGTTACTCTGACTACCTGGGTATTTTTGCAGGACTTTTCAAACTTTGAGAATCACCTGGGGAATCTTGTTAAAATATAGATTCCGATACAGTAGGTCTGGGTGGGGCCAAAATTCTGTATTTCTAACAAGTGCCCAGGTGATGCTGATGCTTTTGGTCCATGGACGGCACTTTGAGTGGGAAGATGAAAAACCTCCAGCTAATCTAGGCTCTCAGCAGAGAGAAAGCCCCGGGTTTAAGTAATCAGAAGGGGGTGGAGAAGCTCAGGATCAAGACAATTCTCCTCTCACCCCCGTAGGTTCTGCCCCTGCTAATGTGGTGTCTGTTCTCTCTCCTCTTCCCGCTCCCACCCCTGCCCGCGGACCCCACGCAGAGGACAATGAGAACTCCAAGTCTGACGAAAAGGGTAACCAGTCCGAGAATAGCGAGGACCCAGAGCCGGACCGGAAGAAGTCGGGCAACGCGTGCAACAAGGACATGAACTGCAACGACGACGGCCACAGCTCTAGCAACCCAGACAGCCGCGACAGCGACGACAGCTTTGAGCACTCGGACTTTGAGAACCCCAAGGCGGGCGAGGACGGCTTCGGCGCGCTGGGCCAGATGCAGATCAAGGTTGAGCGCTACGTGGAGAGCGAATCGGACCTGCGGCTGCAGAACTGCGAGTCGCTCACGTCGGACAGCGCAAAGGACTCGGACAGCGCGGGCGAGGCGGGCGCGCAGGCCTCTAGCAAGCACCAGAAGCGCAAGAAGAGGCGGAAAAGGCAGAAGGGCGGCAGCACCAGCCGCCGTCGTCTATCCAGTGCGTCGAGCCCTGGCGGTCTGGACGCAGGCCTGGTGGAGCCCCCGCGGTTGCTGTCATCCCCCAATAGTGCTTCGGTGCTCAAGATCAAGACAGAGATCTCGGAACCCATCAACTTCGACAACGACAGCAGCATCTGGAACTATCCGCCCAACCGGGAGATCTCCAGGAACGAGTCTCCCTACAGCATGACCAAGCCCCCCAGCTCCGAGCACTTCCCGTCCCCACAGGGCAGCGGCGGTGGCGGCGGGCTGCACGTGGCCATCCCTGACTCAGTCCTCACACCGCCCGGCACCGATGGCGCAGCCACCCGCAAGACTCAGTTCAGTGCCTCGGCCACCTCGGCCTTGGCCCCCGTCACCTCCGATCCACTGTCACCCCCACTCTCGGCGTCCCCGCGGGACAAGCACCCCGGGGGTGGCGGCGGGGGTGGCAGCGGGGGCGGCCCCAGCGCATCCAACTCCTTGCTGTACACGGGGGACCTGGAGGCACTGCAGAGGTTGCAGGCGGGCAACGTTGTGCTCCCGCTGGTGCACAGGGTGACCGGGACTCTGGCCGCCACCAGCACGGCCGCGCAGAGGGTCTACACCACAGGCACCATCCGCTACGCCCCGGCCGAGGTGACCCTGGCCATGCAGGGCAACTTGCTGCCCAACGCCCACGCTGTTAACTTTGTGGACGTTAACAGCCCGGGCTTCGGCCTCGACCCCAAGACGCCCATGGAGATGCTCTACCACCACGTGCACCGGCTCAACATGTCGGGACCCTTCGGCGGCGCTGTGAGCGCGGGCAGCCTGACGCAGATGCCAGCCGGCAATGTGTTCACCACGGCGGAGGGACTCTTCTCCACGCTGCCCTTCCCTGTCTACAGCAACGGCATCCACGCGGCACAGACTCTGGAGCGCAAGGAGGACTGAGACGCTGCCCAGCAGTGGGCAGGGTTCCGCTCGGAGGCATCGTCGGCGTTTTCGTTTAGACCTTTAATTCTAGCACTTTGAATTCGAGCAGGTCAGCGTCTTCTCTCAACACGACGTTCCCCATTTCCATCCCCTTTTCCTTTAACTTGACTTATTCTTTCGTGTAAAGATATGTTTATTTTTTGCCTTCAGAGGGTCAGATGACCAGTTGCCTGCCATTTTGTCTTCTTCTAAAATGTGTGTTGGGTTGTTTTTCTTTCCTTTGCATCTTTATTAAGATGTCTTTAATGTGTATATGCCTCTGCCATAGAATACTCAGTCTTGTGGTCAAGAGATTTTTCAAGTGACAACCATTGGGTTTTCTTCTTAAAGATCTTGATATGATCAAGATTGAAAGAGACAAGCGTAAACAATGTGCCCTGTTTGACTAAGTCAAATGAAATGGGGTGGTGGTTTGTTTTCGTTCCTAATTCCTTTAAAAAACTAGGGGATAGTATTTTAGAATTTTATGCAGAATTTAATTCTCTTTTTATGGTTAAGATTTTAAGATTTTCTTACTTGCACATAAAAATAATTTGGGTTCTTAAACTTAATTTCTGGCCTGTGACTAGAATGTTTTAAAAAAGTTGGACTAAATGTTAATTACTGAAACATTAACTTAATTTCTAAAACCATGGTGCTATCATTTATTAATCTGTAATGTCTTCATACAAAATGCAGCTCCTGGGCTGGGTTTTGGAAAAGAATGTGTTCTGTCCTGGTCTGGAGTCCGTTGCTGCAGTCTCCTTGGTTAGTTAAGACAAAGCCCTCATTAACGTTTGCTGCAGGACTTAAAAATTTTTACCTCCCAACTAACAAACATAGCCTCACATTAAATCTAATGGGTCAGTAAAGCCCTTTTTAAAAGGGCTTTTGGAAAACTCAATCAAACTGATTTGAGGAGCAGTTTAGGTACATACTGCCTTTTGTTGAGCTTTTTTTTTTTTTCTTTTCTCAGTCTAACTGAGGCTAATTTTGCAACTTCAATAACACTACAGAGTAAAAGAAGGAAAAATATTTAACATGTTTTGTTTTCTTTCGTTTCTTGCTTTAAAAAAAAAAAGAAAGGTTGTATTTTGGGGGACTGATTTGATTTGATGGAATTTTTTTCCTTTGGTTCCTTTATTTCTAGGTTGAAACCAATAAGTTTTAAAACTAAAGAATGGGTTAATAAGCTTCAAAGAGATAACTGCAACTGAAAACTGCACATTAAGTTAAAAAAGAAAAAGAAAAAATAATCCTATTTTGTCTTTGTTGCCAGAAATCAGTGTAGTGTCAAACACTCCAAATGACTGTCAAGTATAAATTCTTCTTCCACTCCATTTTTGGCAGCTGTTTGTTAAGGCATTTAATAACAGATGTGAGAACTGTAATGTGTACAATGTGTACGTGTCATTGGCTGTCAGTCCCATTGCGGTTTCAATGTGTGTTTCTATATGCAGTATATACTAAGCTAATGTAGTTGTTTTGTCCTTTGTCTTCTCTGTGCTCTATCTCTAGTCTGGAGTGGTACAGTCCCATTCCTGCAGTCCTAGTGAATCAGTGATTCTTGGGGGTTAGTGGTTTTTTGTGTGGTGGCCTTCCTCTGTAATGTCACCCTATGCTGCTTCTACTGTCTGCGAATCTTCTGTTTTACTTTTAAAAATCCTTGCTGTTGCTTTGCTGGTGTATATTTTCCCTACCTCTCCTTTCTTTCTCTCCCTCTCCCATCTTCCCTTCCCCTCCTCTTCTCCCCGCCCCCCAAAATCTTTTTCATTCTCAGAGATAAAAAGACTCTTAACTAGCTCAAGGTTAATGGAGCCATTTTTCCCACAATGGAATTTCTGGGTATGACTCTCTCTTCTGGAGTGCAACACAAAGCACTGAAGAATAATGCTCAGCTATATTAAACGAATTGATGCCATATAGCCTCAGTTGTTAACATTCCCAGACTCCCTTGTGCTCTACCTATAAGCAGTGGGTGCTTTTCTTTGGTTTCCTTCCAGGTTGGCTGATGGAGCAATATATAAAGCAATTACTAGTGAGACAAAATTATTTCAAAGGTCAATCAACATTTTTTTTAAAAAATAAAAAGGGAGGGGGGAATGGAATATAGAATTGTCATATATATTTGTTTATGCGTGCAATGCTAAATACAGTAACTCGGCTGTCCTTTGAATATCACTGTGTTGAGTGGGTTCCTGTAGGACCTTTGAATTCCATGAGTTGGGCCCAAACCATGGTGAGATAATAACAAAGGCCACAAATTTGAACAGTGAGCTTTCTTGAAGGATTTAAGTAGGTTTAAAAGGTGAAGAAGGCTGATTGAGAAATTTAAAGGTTTTTGGAAGCTCTACTCTAGCTACGGAACAATCCAAGGAATGCACCTATCAGCTACTAAGAACAGCTAGACAGCTGATTTATTTTTTGTTTTGTTTTTGTTTTCTTTTATAAATGTTTCTGTGTTGTGTCAAAATGATTTCTGGTGATTTAAACTAACAGATAATCACAGCTGCTGTCTAAATCCATAGTGTTTAAAATTACAAAATGAAAAAAAAAAAAAAACCAATTCATTACCTGTGAAGACTGTGTCTGTGTTTTTAACTATTTGTTGTACAAATATATGAAAACTTTTATGAGGAGACTGGTGCCAAGTAGCTGAATAATGGGGAAAGGGATATTCTGTTCGTAAAAATCTTAGCAGTGTTACCAACTCTACAATACATAAAAAAAAATTAAAACGTTACAAAGCGACAGCTATGGTACATTTGTTTTGTGTGAAGCTAACCGGACCTAACTTCCTGAGTGCCTGGCTTATTTTGAAACATTTTTTTCATTGACCATTGATAATGCTGCAAATCAGAAATGTACATACTTCATTTACAACAGGGTTCTTTTTATACTTTTGTAGATTCTCATACATGTCACATACATGGTTGTCTTTATGTAACTTAATTTTTCATCCGCAGGTGCCATTTTCATAATAAACTTCTCTTGGATTTGTTACTATCTGGCATCATTTCTTTTACATGTAACCATCCTAACTAATGAATGCTGGTAGTATTTGTTTAAGCAGGTACCTTGGTCATTATTCTTTATTTAAAAAAAGAAAAAAGTTGGAAAAAAAAAAAGCATCCATATATTTTTGCCAGTTTAAAAAAAAAATAGCTTGTGTACTGATAAGGCTGACAAGGCACAGATAAAGATGCTAATCCAAATACTACACCAAACTTGCAACCATCCTAAATTTTCAGCTACCCCAACTCATTGTCATACTGCGCATTATTACGCACATTATCAAAGCTGAACAATGGGCCTGCAACATTAACCACTATAGGAAGTGTGCATTTTTTCTTGATTAATGCACAGTAAATGATGACAGTGTTTTCATACATTAATCATTTAAAATGCACTCAATTTTTTCATTTATTGCAATCTTTAATGTAACTGTTCTTTGCTTATATCTTCTCTTTAAGCTAAATATGTATTTTCTTTCTCCAGACAAGCTGAGTAAGTCATAGTCGTGCTGTGTTATGGTTAGGTCACTTTGCAGCCTGTCATGTTTTAAGGCAGATGAGCTGGCTAACACTTACTTAACAGAAGAAAAAAAGTTTCCATTGTTATCTCAAAGTTAAGGATACAGGTAGGTCCCTGTTAAGTCTGTGCTCTCTAGAGAATAAAGAGATGAATGGGTTGAGTTGAAAGAAAGGCAAACACTTTTGTCCAAAAACTAGCAAACAATATCATCTCCCCAGTTTATGTCTTCAGTGACATTGCCAATTTAGGGGCAATTTTTATTAACGGAGGGTGGCTTCATACTGGAAGATATGGAAATGTGGTTAAAGTTTTGGGGCCCTAGATTTTTCTACTGTGTCCCATATGGATCCTTGAAATAAGTACCTAAAAATTAGAAATAGGGAGAGGGTGATTGAGAGCATGGAATTGCGTTTTCCCAAGTACTTTTCCAAAAATTTATATCTTTCTTTTATTCTCAAGAGCAGAAGGATATAGTATAGCAAGATTGAGAAGTCAAAAAATTGGTGAAGCTAGAAATTCAACCCTGAACAGATGACGGTGAATGATGACGTTAGCTTTCCCAAGGCACTCTGTCTGCTAGGCATTGATGGAGCTGGCAGCTAGTGATGGTTTTCAGAGCTTCGCGCATGGGGGAGAGTCTACTAAGGCAGAGGGGCAATTGTATGAGTATGGGATTAAGATGAGGCTCTGCCTGCTGGATTACGCTGTTGGTCTACCATAACACTTTTCTTCTGGGTGTCACTTCAGCCTTATTATCTGCAGGTAGCGACAATGAGGTTTAAGAAGGGAAAGCCTAGCATGGTGAAGGGTTCATTGAAATCCTCTTGGTATTTGGAGCTTCTGCAGTGGGAGTGCTGGAAATCGTGGATTCTTATCCAAGTGCAGACCTCCCTTAGCATCAACAAGTTCCCTGTCCTTTATTTTTATCCTTCAGTGCTAAAATATGTCGTTGTTGAAATAACATTTCTCTCACAGCCAGAAAGAGAGAGAGAGAGAGAGAGCGAGAGAGAGCGCTGGGCTCAGGCCCACTGACATTCAGGAAGCTCTGCCACATTCGCAGCCACAGGGCTGGCAGCCAAGCCAGGGCCCTGAGCTCCCGGAGGTACAGGGCCTCTCCTTTGCCAGTGGCCGCAGCTGAACTTGTCAAGGCTCCAGTTTGCAGGTGACGAACAAAACAGGGGTCAGTGGCCCAGTTCTCTCTGCCTCCACCCTTCTCCCTCCCAGCTGATACTGATACTTCTTTATTTGGCAATGGGAAACAAGGAAAAAAGAAATTTTAAATAAAATCAGCAGGCAGGAGCATTCAGTTGAGCACAAAGAAACTGGTTTTAGTCATTATATACTATAGTTATTACCCGACCTTCCCTAGTCTTAGACAAAGTCTATTTACATTGACCATGTTTAAAACAATTTGAAATCAATCTGGCCTGTGTATTACATCAGAGGTAAGAAAGAGATAATGTACATTATCAAGCCAGAAAACAGTCTGTTCAAGCCAAGAATATCATCATCCAGGTTTAAAAAAAGTAGAAAGAGTGAAGGACTTGGGGGAGGAGGAAGAATACCTTTGCCAATACTTTATATCATGTAGTGAAGAAAAGACAAATGTTGTACATCTTGAGCATAATTCCCAAAGAAGGACGAGCATAAAATTCCCAAAGAATGACGACAGCTAGCAGGCTTAAACTTCTGGGCTGCTGAGGTAAGCAAACACCCTCAGCTGCCTCCCGCTCTCCTAGGAAACCATTATAAAGAAGGAAGGGCTGACTCCCCCAAGGGAATGGATCGTGGTTTATTCGCCTTTATGTGCCCCCATAGTGGCTGTGGTTGTTCTTGTTAGGTGCCAACACGTCTATTTCGACTCACAGTGACCTCATGTGACAGAGTAGAACACCTTTTAGAAGGTGTTGAGCTGAAATTTTACTTCTGAAGTTAACTGGACTAAATGTAAACCTTCTCCCGTCTGGGTGCCCTTCAAATACATGGAGATGGATGTCAGAGTCTCAATAAAGCTGTACCCTAAATGTCTCCTGTTTTGTCAGTTATTCCTCCAATGCCATTGTAGCAGAATCCTTCATCATCTCAGTCATCCTCATCTAGATGCACTAGAATTTGTCAAGGCCCCAATTAAAATATGGCACCTTGGATCCATCACACAGTCCCAGGTTGATCTGGTGTCTGCATGGGACAGAAGTCTTCTTAATTAAAACAGCCTGAGATTGCAGTCACTTTTTAGCAATCATCATTTGATTAGCTCATCTTGAATCTTCAGTCAACCAGAACCCCTGGTCTTTTCGCAAACTTTTGCCAAGGTAGCTCTCCCACCTCCTATCTGTACAAAGTCCTTACATAATACTGGCATGTCCTTAGGTGAAATGCAATTTAAGGAAAGAAGTTCACTAGACATGGAAGGTGAGCAAAGGCTTGTCCCTCTGAAAACACATCTCTCATTTTCATTGTACTTTAAATACCCCCTGAGACGACTTCACACAGCCTTATGGATAGAGGAGACCCGGACAAGCATTCATGGAACCCTGGGCAAATAGGCACATAAGGCATCCATAGCAAACATTCCCAGTGGACTGCTCCCTTGTAAGTAAACCAACGCAGAGAGAGACAAACCATGAGAAGGAAGTGCAAAGAAGTGGAGAGAGAAGCTACCATGTCAGACAATGTATGGGAACAAAACTGGAGGAAGAGGTGCCAAGACTCCTGACACGTACGTATAAACTCATCCACTCAAAAGTCAAGTAAGAATTAGGAGGGAAGCTGGTCAATTTTCTGAAAATTTGTAGGCCTTCCTTTGCCCCCTTTTATGAGCCAAAATCAAAGAGATTAGCCCAAATACAGTCACTGAGTGTATGCTCCACCTAGAATTAGAGCTCACAACCCCAGAATTTCCAGTGACTATCTTGTACTGCTCTGGGAACCAAGCACAGTTGTTTTTTATTCTTCTATTCACCTCTCCGTATGGGGAAATCACAGAATATACCAGTAAGAATGATCCAGTTAAGTTCTTACCTGTAACTGAGTTTTTCTGCAAAAAGGAAATTAATCTGAGTTTTAAAAATAATGTATGTTGTTCGATGCCATCAGGTTGGATCCAACTCATGGTGGCCCCACGCACAACTGAATGAAGTGCTGCCTGGTCCTGTGACATCCCCATGATTAGTAGATCGGACAGTTCAGATCCACAGGGTTTTTGTAGGCTGATTTTCAGAAGGCCTTTCTTCCTTGTCTGTCTTAGTCTGGAAACTCCACTGAAACCTGTTCAGCATCATGGCAACAAGCAAGCCTCTACTGACAGATGTGGTGGCTGCACATGAGGGGCTTGGCTGGGAATCAAATCCAGGTCTCCAGCATGGAAGGTGAGAAATCCACCACTGAACCACCAACGACCTTGAAAATAATATATACAAACTTTTAAACTACTTTAAGAGGAAAAACAAAAAAGGACCAGAGGGTAAGAAGGTGGCTCTTCCTTGTACTGAAGGAGTTCTCAGATTTATAGCGGAAGTGTCAGAAACAGGATGTAATATCCATATGACCCCCCCACCTTCCCCAAACAAAACCATTATACCCTTGATGAATTATTGACTTTAGAGTTTTATCTGTGCCATGAATAATCACAAACTTGGGAGTCTCAGGGCACAGTTCATAAACAAATAATTATATCACAATGATAATTTTTCAGGAATTGCAACATCAATCATGGCCATGTTATTATCAAGTACATTTTCTGGTTGCCTCTATTCATCAAACCCTCCTCCCTCTCCACCCTTCCGCACCACACAAGCAAAACTCATCACCAGATTGCCTCTTGTTTACACATCACTCAAAGCAGGACAGAGCAGGCACACACAAAATGGGCCAACCCAGCATTTATGAGAGATGAGTTTTCATTAAGAAAGTTCAAATTAAAAGCATTGAGAAAGATGGGAGCAGGAGAGAATTAATTATTCCAGACTCCCCAAAGAAGCTGTCTTTGAAAAGATCTCATTCAGAAGATAAAAACAGACAGAAGGTTTATTCCATTTCAGGCAGTACTAATAAAGAAAAAGGAGTCTTAAAAAGCCAAGGAAATAATCGTCATACAATAATGCACCACTTTTTTTTTACATTCGTCGCACATGTACGTAAATCTTGAGCTTTGTTCTTAGTTCACACCTTCAGGTGGAAGAGGAGAGTGGAGGTAGGTACAGAACTTGGAAAAAGTATAAAGACCTTATCCCATGTCTATACTCAAGTCAGTAATAGAGCTGCCCCGGAGGCTTGGGTCTGATTGCAACCACTTTTCTATGACTGTAATAGAAGGTTAATACTTACCCAAAAATAACAATGCAGAAAATACCCGCAGCCAGGCTACTTTAGTGATGGTCATAGGCCTACTCCTTGCATAACATATTTATTCTTCAATTCCAAAGACAAACAGGTGACCAGCAAAGCAATATAAAGACCCTCTAAGATAAAAG